AGGCCTGCCGGAACAGCCAGGTCTTGGTGGCTTTACGGAAGGCCGGGAGAGTGGTAAGGGTCCGGATCTCAACGGGTAGATCGTTCCACAGGGCCAGTGCAGCTACGGAGAAGGCCCTCTCCCGGGGGGTCGCCAGCCGGCATTGTCCGGTCGCCAGCACCCGGAGGAGGCCCAACCTGTGCGATCTTGTTGGCCGTTGGGAGGTAAGTGGCAGGAGGCGGTCTCTCAGGTAGCCAGGTCCTAAACCATGTAGGGCTAAGTAAGAATACAGTAAGAATTCCATCCAGAGAGATTGCTATTAAAATGGGGGCAGGATGAAATGGGAATCGGGGGGGGGGGCAGAAATGCAAATAAAAGCAGATTTAAAAATCAAACGGTGATTCCACCTACGTGCAGTGATATTCTTATTGCATGAATCTCCGCTTTTACAGCATGTAACGTTGTTCATCAGATAAAAATCACTTTCAGAGGACATGATGACAAAGCCTCGTGTGCAGATATCTTTCTCCACTGTGTTGGACTGGCATCCTTTAATTGTTGCTTTACCTGTTGTGTCTTTCCCTGCAGAGACAGGGGAGGAAAACTGTGTTACAAAGGAGCTGAAAAGACAACTGTTGCCATTTGTTAAAAGCACTGCTCAGTAGTCCCCAAGGCTGCTTTACAAATGGCAGCGGGACCTTCTTGATGTCTTCCCCTTGAAAACGTTTCTCGAAAAAGCTTCCTGCATGAGACGAAAAACATTTTCAGGGAGAAAAGCCAAGAAACTCCCATTCCCTTTTGGAAAAGCACTTTTGGGACAACCATGACCTGGATGATTGAGAACCTCTATAACCATGATGGGGAATCTTTTCGGCACCCAGTGCCCAAATCGGAACAAGCGCACATGGGCAAGTACATATGCATGTACTAGAGAACTGGAAACCCGAAGACCAGCTGGCTGGCATGCATGCGCATAACCGGAATCCAGAGGAGCAGCTGGTGACGCCGCACAGGCCCAGAGAGAGGCCTCTGCATGTCACCTCTGGCACGCATGCCATAGATTCACTATCACGGCTCTGTAATGTTGTATGCTGTACTGCAGGCCACTTCAGCTGGCTGCTATCTGCAGTTCGGCGGTTCAAATCTCAGCCTTCCATCCTTCCGAGGTGGGTAAAATAAGGACCCAGACTGTGGGGGCGATATGCTGACTCTGTAAACCACTTAGAGAGGGCTGAAAGCCCTGTGAAGCGGTATATAAGTCTAACTGCTATTGNGCGGAACCGGTTCTGAAGCATCCGGAGATGGACAAGCCTTTTGTCGTTCAAGCTGATGCTCAAATGTTCTCACTGTATTTTCCCAGTCTGAAAGGGTTTCTATCGAATAATCTGGATGTATTCTGTCTAAATTTGTTCTCAAGTGGCGGCCCATAAGTAATTCAACTGGGCTCCTACCAGTGGCTACGAAATGAGTGACGTGTTGCTTGAACAAATACTTAAGATTCTCCTGATGGTCCCTGGGGCCCACTCGAGTCAACGCCTCTTTTGCCATTCGCACCATTCATTCCGCCTGCCCATTACTCATGGGGTGAAATGGGGCAGCCTTGATTTGCTAGGAATACCTTGAATGCAGTTGCCGTAAATTGAGGCCCATTGTCCGATACCAACGCGTCCGCCAACCCATGTGTTGCAAACATTTTGTTTGGAACCCTGGTAACAGCATCTGTCGTAGTTGACCTCATCATGGCCGCCTTCAGTCATTTAGAATACACATCGATGACAATTAGAAATGATATTCCATTTATTGGCCCCACAAAATGGATGTGAATTCTAGACCAGGGGCCTTTTGGTGTTACCCAGTCCCGTGGTGGCGCTGAAGGAGGTGCTGGTCTCAATTCCTGGCATGCTTGCCACAACACTACCCACTCCGCGATATCTCTATCTAGATTTGGCCACCACAGATAGCTACGAACCAATGCCTTCTTCCTTACAATCCCAGGGTGGCCTTCATGTAGAGTCTCTAGCAGTGATTTCCTTTGCCTTGAGGGTATCACTACGCGGTTCCCCCACAACAGGCAACCCTTTTGCACAGAAAGTTCATACTGCCTTGCACGGAATGGCTTAAACTCTACACTTCCTGTCTCTTTAGGCTATCCCCTCCACACCCAGTTTAATACTTGCATGATCGTTTGATCTTTTCTCGACTGGTTTGTTACTTTCGCAGCTATAACAAGTTTGGACGGCATAGTCTCTATCAGCAATACCGATGCTGCTGGAGATGGATCCTCCACTAGATTTGTTAGCGGACAACGGCTTAGGCAGTCAGCATGGCCCAGTTCTGTGCCAGGTTGATGTATAAGTCGATAGTTATATGCTGCTAAAAACTCCATCCAGCACCTCATCCTTGGGGACAGGACCTACGGTGTTTGCTGGTCCCCCACAATTAGTCCAAGCAACAGCTCATGATCTGTGGCTAAATTGAATTTCCTTCCATAAACATATTCGTGGAATCTCTTAATACCAGCAACCCCAGCCAATGGCTCTTTATCAAGTTGGCTGTAGTTCCTCTCAGCTGATGATAGCGTCCTAGAAAAGAATGCTATTGGACCTTTGCGATTGTCTGGAAGGTGATGACTTAAAATTCCAACTCCAAATGAGGATGCATCACACGTCAGGACTAATGGCAGGTGTTCATTATATTGGATTAGAACACTGTCCGAGGAAATTAATTTCTTAACCCCCCACAAATGCGTCCGCTTCTCTGCGCCCCCAAACCCATGGCACCTTTTTTCCTAAAAGCTGGTGTAGTGGTTCGGCTACAGATGTCATCTGTTGCAAAAGCACACTATAGAAATTGAGGAGTCCCAAGAAGGCCTGGAGTTCCATCTTATTCTTTGTTGTTGGTGCGGAATGTATTGCTTGTACTTTCTCTTTGGTAGGGTGCAATCCGGATGCATCGAGCAGGTAGCCCAGAAACTCGACTTGATTTACTGCTACTTTACACTTTTCTTCCTTTACCTTTAGCCCGGCCTCTTTGAATCTTTGTAACACTAGTCATA